TCCCATTCTTGTCTTCTTTGTGGAGAGCCCCGGGAGGTGGGAAAGGAAGGGGGGGGGAGAGAAATGAGAGGTGTTTCATGTTGGGAAAGGTATCGGGCAACCTGACATTTACGTATGAACGTATGAACGTAACTTAAGGATGAATTCATTTATCACGTTCTAGTTCTTGGGGTGCAGTTCAGTGTGCTGAACACCCCCCCCCCCCAAGCCATCCCACCCCCCTATAACTATGACTATAGAATTATTCCCCATCACTTACAGTGATACGTCACTATATGGCCAAAATACAAGAACGCCGGTGCCATTGGTTTGGGATAAAAATCTGTAGGCTGTATATGAATAATGATTGGCTAATGCAAAAAGGAAATAGTCACGTGACCTAATCAAGCACGCACACACAAAGATAGTCATGACTTGATCAGAGATCAAGAGAAGGCAGAGGCCAATGGACCCTATTTGGGTCGTGGAGGGGGTCGTTAGCAGGGCCTCTACTCAGGCTCGGAGCCCTGTCACAATTAGTAGAAACAAAAAAGAGAAAATTCATTAATTACATCTTAAATACGAAGGGTGAAATGATCATTAATGATCAGAGCGGCAATTAGGGCCACAGAGAAGTCCAGACTACTCGACTTTTTAAAAGCGCCTCCGCCACCCAGAGGCGTAGCGAGGGTGTTTGGCACCCGGGGACAAGATCCATTTTAAAGCGCCCCTTTTCTTTTTTTCAACTCTCAAACCCATTATTTTCATCAATAAAATAATATCAAAGCACATTTTGGCGCCCCAACTAGCTGGCGCCCGGGGACATCTGCCACCCCCTCGCTAAGCCTCTGCCGCCACCCCCTCCCCCAACCGTTGCCTACCAAATATATGCCACCACCGATATGGCTCTATCAAGACGACCTCACCGTAGCGGCAAGAAACATTGTATCCCCATTAATTTATTGATACTTGAACCTGTACCACTTACCCAAAGCCGTGGGGGGGGGGGTGTGTAATGCCTGGGACGGGGTGCCTCACGCAAGGTGCCCTCCAAGTACGGTATGTGTGTAAATAGCTAAGGTGACCGGATTGATATCAAGACGACCTCACCGTAGCGGCAAGAAACATTGTATCCCCATTAATTTATTGATACTTGAACCTGTACCACTTACCCAAAGCCGTGGGGGGGGGGGGTGTGTAATGCCTGGGACGGGGTGCCTCACGCAAGGTGACCTCCAAGTACGGTATGTGTGTAAATAGCTAAGGTGACCTGATTGTTGCGTATCGCCATCGTGGTAGACGAGGTCACTGGGCTGGCGTGGATCAAGTCGATTACTAGATTACTACTCGCGTTAAAAATGTAATGGCCGGAGAGTCCAATCAATGTTGGACACGTACTGGTGGGGATGGGGGGTGGTATGTTGACATCAAAAGTCAAGATCACACCCTCCGAAAAAGGAAGTTGATTGTTCTTATTTGAATCATTCTGGCGTGTGTATGTAGACCCTTATATTGGAGACTATATGTTACAGATATTTTTTTTAAAACCCTTTCCATACGAGGTGGGGCAAGCAAGACACGATACGTGTCGTGGGTGCCACTTGAAGCGGAGCGTGAGATCAGCGAGCCGGACAAAGAATTTGTCAACGTTTTTGTGAAGTATCGACCGCAAGCTCTGAGCCGTGGCACAAACTCTAGATATATGACTCGTCTCATAAGGTAGGGACAACTAGATTCGGCTTGGGGTGCGTTGTCTTGGAATAGCGTCATGTGACGAGAACATCCGGTCACAATAAACGCCATCACAATCAGCATCAGGTCAGCGTGGCCATAACCGAGGGACTGTACGAGACGTGAGAGTTTCGCTCTTGTAATCACGTAGCCGCAACACTGTCTATAGTCTGTTTCATGTTGGTATCAGTATGAATCCCAGGCCACCTGTCTACATCTACCTACATGAGAGTTGTTATGGTCACCCAGTGGCAGACCTTCTACAATCTACATGGAACTACATGAGAGTCCCCATGGCCACCTAGTGACAGACCTTCTACAATTTACATGGACCTACATGAGAGTCCCCATGGCCACCTAGTGGCAGACCTTCTACAATCTACATGGACCTACATGAGAGTCCCCATGGCCACCTAGTGGCAGATCTTCTACAATCTACATGGACCTACATGAGAGTCCCCATGGCCACCTAGTGACAGACCTTCTACAATCTACATGGACCTACATGAGAGTCCCCATGGCCACCTAGTGACAGACCTTCTACAATCTACATGTACCTACGTGAGAGTTGTTATGGTCACCTAGTGGCAGACCTTCTACAATCTACATGGACCTACATGAGAGTCCCCATGGCCACCTAGTGGCAGATCTTCTACAATCTACATGGACCTACATGAGAGTCCCCATGGCCACCTAGTGGCAGATCTTCTACAATCTACATGGACCTACATGAGAGTCCCCATGGCCACCTAGTGGCAGATCTTCTACAATCTACATGGACCTACATGAGAGTCCCCATGGCCACCTAGTGACAGACCTTCTACAATCTACATGGACCTACATGAGAGTCCCCATGGCCACCTAGTGACAGACCTTCTACAATCTACATGTACCTACATGAGAGTCCCCATGGCCACCTAGTGGCAGACCTTCTACAATCTACATGGACCTACATGAGAGTCCCCATGGCCACCTAGTGGCAGACCTTCTACAATCTACATGTACCTACACGAGAGTCCCTAAGGCCGCCCCGTAAGTTGGTGAGCTTAATTTGGACATAACTGGGTCAATGACATGTTGTGCAGACGGGAAGAGTCGCCAAGTAACAGAATCAGTTTGAAGGACGATCAATCAGTCCATCGATTGGACACTCACATGGCCTATATTTCTTGAGCCATGATGTGCACTGACCTAATTGGGTGGGACGCGCCAGGGATGATGCGACTGTCCCATTAGAGGCAGCAGTCCTTACGACAACCTTGAACTCCATAGAGTATTCTGGTTAATTCGCCGTTGTTTGTGGTTTCCCTAAGTCCCGTGAAACCCAAGTCCTGCACAGAGACCTGTTGGTTTTAAATGAAGGTACCCATTGCGCCCTTGACCTAGATATGGATTAGACCTTTAGGTACCAGTTAATGCAAATACACTCTTCCTACACGAAAAAGCTCTCTTCCAATTCCCCCCCCCCTTCCCCGTTTCCCACAGATTTGTTGTTTCTTCCCACCAGCTTTTGTCTTTGTGGTAGATGATGTTATCGACCTGCTCGCGGCCCCGTGCGCGTGCGAGCTATATCGATCTTTGAGTACTAACCCAGTTTTCTTTGTTCTCTTGGTTACTAACGAGTGCTGGCCTGACCTCACGTTGTCCTATATAACCATGGAATAGGAGGCAGTAACAAATAGTTTTACTACTGAGTATGTGACAGACTGTATATAATTATTTGTCACGGTCTTATGACACAGTCTGTGTGACACAGTGTTATGACAGAAGTGTGTATGTCTGGGGTTGTGACAGTTCATTTTCACAGGATTCTGCTCTTCTTACACAGGTTAACACATACAGTAATTTGGCCTATATTGAGTATTCTTACAGAACTTATCTTATAAAGACATTAGGCCTATGTTGTCAATTGTTGTATATTCTTACATAACTATCTCATATAGATAATGGGCCTATATTGAGTATTCTTACAGAACTTATCTAATAAAGACATTAGGTTAGGCCTATGTTGTCAATTGTTGTATATTCTTACAGAACTATCTCATATAGACAATGGGCCTATGTTGTATATTCTTACAGAACTTATCTAATAAAGACATTAGGTTAGGCCTATGTTGTCAATTGTTATATATTCTTACATAACTATCTCATATAGACAATGGGCCTATGTTGTATATTCTTACAGAACTTATCTAATAAAGACATTAGGTTAGGCCTATGTTGTCAATTGTTGTATATTCTTACAGAACTATCTCATATAGAGAATGGGCCTATGTTGTATATTCTTACAGAACTTATCTAATAAAGACATTAGGTTAGGCCTATGTTGTCAATTATTGTATATTCTTACAGAACTATCTCATATAGACAATGGGCCTATGTTGTATATTCTTACAGAACTTATCTAATAAAGACATTAGGTTAGGCCTATGTTGTCAATTGTTGTATATTCTTACAGAACTATCTCATATAGAGAATGGGCCAATGTTGTATATTTTACAGAACTATCTAATAAAGACATTAGGTTAGGCCTATGTTGTCAATTGTTGTATATTCTTACAGAACTTATCTCATATAGACAATGGGCCTATGTTGTACATTCTTACAGAACTTATCTAATAAAGACATTAGGTTAGGCCTATGTTGTCAATTGTTGTATATTCTTACAGAACTTATCTCATATAGACAATGGGCCTATGTTGTATATTCTTACAGAACTTATCTCATATAGACAATGGGCCTATGTTGTATATTCTTACAGAACTTATCTCATATAGATGTTGTATATTCTTACAGAACTTATCTCATATAGACAATGGGCCTATGTTGTATATTCTTACAGAACTTATCTCATATAGACAATGGGCCTATGTTGTATATTCTTACAGAACTTATCTCATATAGAAAATGGGCCTATGTTGTATATTCTTACAGAACTTATCTCATCTAAAGGTAATCATCCCATGCTCGCACTGTTACACAAGTAAGCTCATATGCACACTTATGTAAATTCCTGTTAAAGAATTGCTATTTGAGATGTTGTTTTATGTTTATTGTTGAAACACCAGACAAACATTCCATCTGATACCCCACCCTTTGCTTCAACACACTGCTTGTAATCTTCAGCTTGTCTTTATGTTGGCCCATTAGCATTGCTAAGAAAAGGATGGTCTATAAAACTCTATGTTCGTTAATAAATATAATACTTGTATCGGTATGTGTTAAAAATAACAAGGTAGAATAAAGCATAGTATTTTTTTATTTACATTTGTTAACCTTTATTTTGTTGTCAGATTTTCGTCCTGATCTGACCAGAGTGCAACCGAGGTCTGAGGCATTTCCCACGCAGTCCAAGTGGGATGACCTGAGTGTAGAGAGTATCACGTGTTGCAATGGGCAAAATACTGGACGGTGACAAGTCCGACGTCAAGAGGGAAGTGGTCAGCGCCTCTGCCAACCTTGAGGTTATCAGTCAGGAGAGTTTTGTGAAGCGCCTGGAAGGGATGAGCTCAACATGCGTCAATTGTCAGCGGGAGCGCACGCGCACCACACAGCGCAACAAAACCGGGCGCAAGGGAAAGTCAGGTCGCCGCAAGCAGCACAGCAAGTCGACCATGCCCATAGTGATTCACCTCAAGGACACACTGCCATCTGGGAAGAAATACCGACAGTCCAGCCTGGATGGGGACTCTGATGTGTCAACAAAGTCCACCGATGAGGAGCAACAGTTCAGCGGCTACTTGACGGACTCTCACCATATCCCACCACTCTACAGTGATGTGGACTCGATACCAGAATTCATCCCCCAGTACAACAACCATCATTTCCACCAGAGCTGGCCGCAGCCTTTCTATCATCAGATAATGCCGTCAGGTGCTGCACAGCTTAGAAATCACAGCAGGAATTCCACTTCTCAGAAGGCCAAAGAAAAGTCCAGGAAGAATCTCACAGCGCTTATCTCCGTCATAGAGAAGGCACACAGGAAGGAACCTCTGTACATAGAGCCCAACTTAAGTAAAAACTCGCCAGACGCTAAACTGTGCAACATGTTCAATAATTTCAGCTTCACTTCCCACTCTGATCAGGATGTCAAGCGTAAGAACATGGCGCACTGTAACAATGTTGATCTTATCTGCAACGATTTATCCAAAAGTGCCGAAAAGTTACTGGAGAGCCCTGATGACTCTGACAGCAGTGACAAAGTATCTTTAGTGTCCAGCAGTGACACCTTATCTGATGACGTTGCCGATCTTCCTGTTCCTGATGAACTCAGAGGTCATGACCTGACCCTTACTGAGCTGGAAGAACTGGCTGAATACACAACTGGGGCCCCTCTCATTCGATATGACTGCCCGCCCCCTCACTGCCCAGAATGTGTCCATGCCTGGCATACGTTACAGTATTATCAATATGAGGGTTGTGCTATGTACACATCCCCCTGTAGCCACCCCCATGTCCACACCACCATGTATACACCTCCTAGACATCACCCGTGTCCACACCGACCTAATGGTGGTCAGAAGGCAGCATCTCCCCGGACATCTCTATCCTCCGATTCTGATGTCTCCTCCGATGTCGAAGATGGTTCCACCACCAGCAGCTCATCTTCCTCAGGGAACAAGGCCATGGCATCGGTCCAGGCCGGCCCACCTTCCTCAGGGAACAAGACCATGGCTTCTGTCCAGAGCGGCCCAGCTTCCTCAGGGAACAAGATCATGGCTTCTGTCCAAGCCGGCCCACCTTCCTCAGGGAACAAAGCCATGGCCTCCGCCAAGACAAGCCCAACTTCAGGACAGCACCAATCAAAAAGAGCAAGAAATCCAAGAGGTCCTTTTGGAAGAATCAACTCTAGCAAAGACCCACGCCATTCTGTAAAACGGGCCACCGCCAGCTGGACAGGGGCCAGACAACTGTGGGACATTGATGTTGCCCACAACCATGGCTCCCCAGTTACCGACAGTGTGTACATGGACCTGACAGGATTGGATGTGACCATTTCTGTAATGTATCACACCTGCAGCACACCAACTTGGCCCTACCCGGTCCATTCCTTGTATCAGGCCATGTACACGCCCACGGCCTTGACCAGTCCAAATCTCCAGTTCAGCAGCCCCATCTTCTATCCACAGAAATTTGATTCCCTTCCCATCCATGAATTTAAAAAATGTAAGTCAGTTATGACCAGTTTCAGATGATTAACAAGGAAAACAGTCCACATGTCAGTCAATATACAACCAAATTTATTGCATGTTGCGATCCATTTTTATCCGGCAACAGTTTGCTGCTTTTTGGGTAGATAGTTTAACCCCCAAGATAAGTCATGTTGATAAGTCATGTTGATAAGTCATGTTGATAAGTCATGTTGATAGTTGCCAAGATTGATAGGTATCACTGTTCATTAAAGCATTGGTGTCATTGTGAATAAAGTCATTGAGTCATGGAGCTTAGCTTGTTTGAGATTTTATTTATTTTTTAAACTTTTAATGCACTTGGCATGATCAACATCTGTTTATTTAACTTCCACAAAAGTATTTTTAACCCATTTCTCTAGGTCTTGGAGAATTAAAAAATAGTAAACAAAAGTTAAGTTTTGTAACAAATTTTATTTTATGAAAATTTGAAAGTTCCTAGAATTGCCTGTCTGTTCAAATTCTTGAAAAAAATAATGTAAAACAAAAGGAGAAAAATTTACCATTTTCAGAAAATGTAGGGAGGTATTTTATTTATAAATGATTGCCCAATGCTGATTTTTAAGGTTCAGTTCAAAGTTGATTTATTTAGCTATGCACCCCATGTCAGTGTCATGTCATAGTTTGCACCTGATTTTAGGATAATGGTAATTACTATTATGACGTGACTTTAGGCAACACAAAGTTTAGCTAACAGTGTTAGCCATGAAATGTTTATGGAGATATTTCATGCACAAAATACTTAGAGCTTAAATAGTGCGTATGTTTTAATGTTTCTCTCTAGTCTTTCAATTCTTTTTAAAATTTACCAGCAAGACATATATTAGGCTGTTTATTATTGTGTTACGTGGTTTTATGCAATGTTCATATAGAAATAAGTTGTTTTTAATTCTACAGATGAAATGACCTTACCCCCAAGCAGACCCTGGATAACCACTGGAACTTGTGATAAAGATGTACCTGCCGGTAAGTGACCAAGAATTGTCAAGGATAGTAACCAGTTGTGGGTAACAATTTGTATTAGTGAATGGTAGAGTGGATGGATGGTCACCTTGCTGTTAATGGTCAGGGGACAGATTAGTGGTCACTATCTATGGTTGGCAGTGCATTGGATCTAAGGTGTGAGAAACCATCTTGTTGACATGTAGAGACATTATTTATTGAATGTTATTGCATCAGTATTTGGCTACCCTGTGTGTGATCATGACTCATCACTTTAGACATTGTATTTCTTCCTCAGCTGTCTTCTCAGTAATGTGCTACAATGTCCTGTGTGATAAGCTGTGTACCAAGGCAATGTATGCCTACTGCCCGACGTGGGCGCTAAGCTGGGACTATAGGAAAAAGGGCATCATGAACGACATCATCCGAAACAACGCTGACATCCTCACACTGCAGGTGAGACAAATGATCGTTGACACCAGTATCTTCTGTTCAATCCATTAGTGCTCCTAATACCCATCATCCACTTAAATTGTAACAACAGAATACTTACTTCCATTCTCTCTGTATCAGACCTGTGTGTATCTTACTATGTATCTATCTATACAACTCAGGAAGTGGAGACAGAACAGTACTACAGCATGTTCTTACCAGAACTGGCAGCTCAGGGCTACAATGGCATATTCCTTCCAAAGTCCCGTGTCCGCACCATGAACTCCGACAAGGAAAAGAAATGTGTTGACGGTTGTGCTATTTTCTATAAAAAGAACAAGTAAGTATGTCAAGCCTATCAAGGTAGATCTTGCCGTAAATATTTAAGAGTAATAGCTGTTATGGAAGTTGGATGTTAATCAACTCTTAAACTTAAATGAAAAACCTATTTAAAATGTTTTAGGAACTTCAAAAGCAGAATGTTCTCATAATGACTTGCATGGTTGAGGACTACTTTATGTTGTATTACAGTGGTTCTCATAATGACTTGCATGGTTGAGGACTACTTTATGTTGTATTACAGTGGTTCTCATAAACTTTTGAACTTGGCCCCAATAAAGCCTAGTTTGATAGGAGATGTATGCAAAAAATAAAATCGTATGCTATTTTAAAGTAATTTTCGGGCTTTTAAACCACTAATCTTCTTTTTTTTTTTAATATTCCCCTGTTAACCTGAATAATAAAGATTAAATGGATATGGAATGTACAAAAACAAAAAATAGGAATACTTTCCTTCTGATGTCTACAGATATTTTTTTTAAATGTGCATGTTTATAAGTTCTATCAGATTTTACTTTTATGGCATTTGAATGAACTACTAATATTCTTTACTTGAATGTTACCACTGATAGTACAATGTCTTGTTGATGGCTTCCCAGGTTCGAGAAAGTCAACGAGTACCAGATAGAATTCAGCCAGCTGGCCACCAAAGAGGGGGCCTCCAACACTGACACTGATATGATCAACAGGGTCAGTACAAAGGACAACATTGCCATAGTGGCTGTGCTCAAAACCAGACCTGATGTCTATCTCAACAGTAAGTGGGTGCCATCAAGCAGATCGTGACTCTCTTGATCACTTTTACATGATATTGCCAGTGACGTCACTGGATCACTTTAACATGATACTCTTTAAAGTGATTGACTGTGAATGACGTCACTGGATTACTTTAGCATGATACCCTTTAAAATGATTGACTGTTTGTGATGTCACTGGATCACTTTAACATGATACCCTTTAAAGTGATTTATTACGAGTGACATCACTGGATCACTTTAACATGATACCCTTTAAAGTGATTTATTACGAGTGACATCACTGGATCACTTTAACATGATACCCTTTGAAGTGATTTATTACGAGTGACATCACTGGATCACTTTAACATGATACCCTTTAAAGTGATTTATTACGAGTGACATCACTGGATCACTTTAACATGATACCCTTTGAAGTGATTTATTACGAGTGACATCACTGGATCACTTTAACATGATACCCTTTAAAGTGATTGATTGTGAGTGACATCACTGGACTAACCATAATCATGACCCTTTCGGGTCATTACTAAATATATAGTTTTTATCAATGGAGGGATACACCATGTAAGCGCTTAATTCAATCAATGAAGCTGATTCCTAACCTGTCCTTGACATATTTACTTATTCTACCACAGGCTGAACCAATCGGCACGGTTTTTATTTTCTCTACCTTTTGGTGAAACACATACAGAATTATTTATAACAGCTGTATTACTGTGCTCCCAGGTGTAATTCTATTTCTAACATGAAATAAATCAACTATCAGAAAAGCCAAACTCTCTGTATCCTGGGTTACACACAGGGGTTGAAATGGTGTGGTTTTCCAGTCAGATGTACAACAGAGAAATGTACTGAAGTGACAAGACTAAATGCTCACATGATATGACAACCTGGCGACATGACTGCTTTACACCTGACATGATTGCCCTTGTTTTCCATGTGTCACATCAGTTGTCATGTCACAATGTGTACCCCCTATTTTGTTGACAGGTCCTGTCACCGCGCCTAAAGGTCTGACCCAAATGTTGATGGTATCAACGGCCCACATCCACTGGGATCCCCAATCCCCAGACGTGAAACTTGTCCAAACAATGATGTTGATTGAAGAGCTACAAAAGTTTGTCAAGGAAACATCCATGCAGTTTCGTCCCAATGCACCGCCGCCCTCCCTCGATGCCGATCTCTGCAACAGCATGCCACTTATTCTATGCGGGGACTTCAATTCATTACCAGACTCTGGTACGTTAGGGTGACTCTAATCCAGGCCTGCACAACTCAAAATGTAATACTTTATGAAAAACTTGTGCGGGCCAAAAGAAAATAGGACAGGACTTGTGCGGGCCAAAAGAAAAATGGACGGGGGGGGGAAGCTATAAAGAATATAGAAAGAATAAAGAATATTTAGTTACTTCGCGGGCCTCAAAGTGCGTGCTGGCGGGCAGCATGTGGCCCGCTGGCCGTATGTTGTGCAGGCCTGCTCTAATCCTGCTCTGATATGTCAGAGCCATGGTTTTCAACAGGTGTCCGGTAAGAATTTCACAGTTGTGCAACAAGACTTGTAATGGAAACAGATTGAAATGAATGTGAAACAAGCTTTTGTGTCATTGTATCTTTTAAATAAGTTGGTGCCTATAAATAACTCTAATCTAATCCAAAATGATGAGGGTTTTTTTTTTAACCTCTCCAAACCATAAACGTTTATAACTCCCAATGCCAAGTTCTATAAATGAGTTTTTGGTGCGTCGCAACATAGAACAGGTTAATTACCTTCAAGTATTATTTGATCACTATGTTGGGGCAGTGCACATATTATATAACATAAAAATGTGACATTTTTTAATCCCCCAACCCACCAACACACAACTGAAAAAACAGTTTTTAAAACCAAGTAGAATAAAGCAAATTTCAATCTAAAGAAACAGAAATATTTTTTTACAAAAGTTCTTATTATTGTAAGCAAAGGAAACATGTTAGCTTCTACAAAGGAAACATGTTAGCTTCTACAAAGGAAACATGTTAGCTTCTACAATCTATGCTGATTTCATACATTTCAAAAGCAAAAATAAGAATTGATCAAAAAAAAAAATAATAATAATAAAAAAAATTGTTTTATTATCCTGCATAACTCAATAGAACAAAGTGATAACTCATCCCCCCTCATCCCCTCTCATCCCCCTCACCTTATATAATATGTGCACTGTCCCTTGGTAGGATTGTACGGTCAAAGTATTATAATAAGCAAGTTTCATTTTGACTTAACATTATTTTATTTAAACTGGTTTTCAGAATATTTGCAAAGACCTTAATCGAATGTCCGGATAATGTTTCTTTCCTCTCTCCCATGACAGGTGTTTATGAATTCTTGTCAAAAGGTCGGCTTGACACGAGCCATAAAGATTTTGAGGGCCAAAATTACCAAGTTTTTATGAAAGATAGAAATGCCAATGGAATCATCACTCACAATTTTAATCTCACTAGTGCTTACAAAGATGTTATGCCTTTCACCAACTACACGTAAGTAAACCACGGGCTCCGAGTCACATGACAGTAAGGTGGAATATTAATGGTAAAATTTCCTTTCTTGTTTACATTAATTTTTCTTAATTCCATCACGTTCTACCTTTAAAATCTTAATGTAACTCTGGGTTCTTGTTTTTTGTCATGTATGCTATCTAGAACGCCGCTAATGCAATTTTATCTCTACAACAAGCTGAAATATTTGTACAATTTGTTAAGGTTAGTTTGTATCCCAAACTTAGATATTTGTACATTTCTATAAGGTCATATTGATAATCTCTCCACAGATTTGATTTTAAGGGTGTCATTGATTACATCTTCTACTCTGACCAACATCTGCGACTGCATGGAGTCATGGGACTGCAAGATGAAGAATGGTTCAGAGCAAACAAGATTATCGGCTGCCCACATCCATTTGTTCCTTCTGATCACTTCCCTTTGTTCGCAGAGTTTTCATTACCTGCCCACCCTCAGCGACCGAGATAATAGCGGCCTCATTTTCCCAGCATCATCATCATCATGATCATCACATCTTGACCGCAATCATCCAAAAGTGACCACAACTGCCATGAGATGAACATTTTTTCAACAATACTTCAGCTGTAAAGCACAACAAAAACACCACGTAATAACATTCACCTTACCGACACACAACATACAGAACCACCACCACATGAATAAATACCACAGTGGCGTAAAAGCAGTTACATGATAGTCTAGCATCACCCTGAACATGTACAGCAGGAGTAACTGCACAATTGTTTATAACCACAGACAGTCGTCTCATTTCACACATTGCATTTTTCATTACTATGTGAGGGCACAATCTTTCTGCATTGGTCATTTCTATCAATGGTTATCTTCCCCTATCATAAATGCCTTTTCAACGTTTGAAATATTTTTTAAGAACTTATTTGTTTGGTAATTTGTTTAAACTGAAATAAAACTGAGACTTATTTTGATCTCTGCTCTGCAAACTACAAATCCCAGGCGCCTACAACACCCTCCCCCCCCCCCCCCCCAACCCCACCCCCCACCCCCACCCCCCATCCTCCATGCTTCCCTCACTTTGTGTACTGTTGTTGAAATGTGCAATACCGACCGGATTCAGTGGTGGCTACCAAAATTACTCAAGGTCAAATCCATTTCTTAACTATTTGCTTTTGTACTGGGGATGCAGCATTCTTTCAATGGCATGCATTGAGAAAGCAAAAAGCATGAGGTTGTCTTTCCGTGATGAGACAACCTGTGAATGTTCCAATGACAGTTATTGGTCCATGTGAAAGTTTAATATTTTACGTGCAAGCTTGGCCTATATGTTTATGATGATTTAATTACTCTCCTTGTTTAGTTGTGAGCACCTCTTTTACAAGTTTATTATTATATTAGCAGCAGGGGTCAGCATTATATTTAATTAGGGCAATGCCAACAGTTTTGTTGCTACGGCTATTAGTGATCTAAAGTGACAATTTTGACTTATGACAATTTAGTTTTTAATTATTGTATATCTAAAGACCTTGTGATTGTGGGGAACTCCAATGAAATGGACCTAAATAGCAATAGGCAAATTAGATGAATAATTGCTGCCAAAGTTTTGATTTCTTTTGAGACCTCTAAAATTACCATTAAATACAAGGACACATAAATGTATTTTTTATTTTTTACAACTAATATATAGAATGTAATAGATGTAATAGAGTCATATAGAAAATATTAAGCCGTTTCCTTTGCTGCAATTTTCAAATAATAAGTTGTAAATAAAGCTTTTTTTTTTTTTTTAAATAGTGAAGGAACAATTTTTTTTAAAATAATTATAAATTTGTTTGGAGATCTCTATTTTCAATTAATACAAATCTGAATTAATTGTGTATAAAGAGGAGCACCAATAATGTTAAAATTTTCAGTTGAAAAAAATGTTATTCCAATGGGTTTGAATTGTACTTGTTTGTAATACAGAGTTTTCTGTAACGTAAAAAATAAAACTATTTGATTTCAGATATGGCATTACAGAAATGACCGGTAGTTTCATTCTATAGAAGACTAAGCAAAGCCTTGTTACCAAAAATAATGTTTATTTTTGTGGGCCATGACCAGAATTGCTGGTGTTACAAGCTTACCCATTGCAGAGGGTTGTTTGTGGAGATGGTGAATGTGGTACCTGAGGGTGAGAAAACCCTCCCCAACCCTATTGTCTAGACTAGATTATTGATCTGATTATTGTGGTTTTATTATAATGGTCTGGTGTTTTGGGGGAAGGCAACCGCGCCCTGACTCAAACACATTGCTGTTGAATGGATCCATTCCCTTGAAGTTTTCTCATGATCTTGTTTGGGGGAGTGGCCATGTTGGAATCATGAAGTAACGTTCTGTCATTTTGTTTGTCATACATGAATATTGTTTCAAATATTGTAAATAAGAAGTGCAGCATATTTTTTATAAGCTGATTTCAAAATAAATTTTATTCATTTAAAGATCATCTTCTTGGGAAACTGGTGGGTCTTGGGTAAATGGTAGATCTGGGTTTAATTTTTTTAAATCAGGCAAGCAATGTGTAATATTGGTAATCTATGTTGAATGAAATTGTGAAGATTATTAGCTGACCCATTCAAATGTTTTGTTTCATTTTTTTTTTTTTAAATATCTAAATACTTGACATTTGTAATTTTCTATCTTCCTCATTTTATCAAAATCTGTCATTGTTATGATGCCTGTTGACTGTCATTTCAATAAAACATGACCTGTTATTTCACTGTAGGCGAGCACCTTTGGTGGGAATGCTGCATTAGGTGTGCGTCGTGACTTGACCATCTGAGACTAGATTTTTCTTTTTATTTCTGTAAGCCAGGCAAAATGTTACATGGTGAAATTGGTGACCATTTTTAAACCTCCATACATGACTCTAAAGCCAATGTTAAACCACATTTCAGTTTAATCTGCTCATAAGATAGCTGCTCCACCCAGTGGATGTAAGATAATTGTTCCGCCTGGTGGATGTAAGGGACATTTGTACAGACAGAGTGTAAATATATAAATACTGTCATATGCTGTCTTCTCTTCCTCAAGGTTGGCATTCATATTCATCACCATTTGTTTCCAAAGAGAGATACCACACACACAAAGAAAGGGGGGTGGGGGGATTTTAAAATATATATTTTTAACTTTACTGGTTGTGTAGTGAATAATAAGTCATTTTGTGTGCTACAAAGATTCTTGATTGGAAGTTGATGTAATTCCTTTGTTTTATCAGGTAGACCATGGGCGTTTCCAAACCTACAATGTTGTGCTCTGTTGATTATAGACTGTGAAACAACCAAGACTTAAACCAAATTCATCAATTTACTTGTCATTTGTCTCTTAGTGTTCCATACATAGGACAGTATCAGTCACATTAACTTATCATTTGTTTCTAGTGTTCCATAGGACAGTATCAATTACACTAACTTATCATTTGTCTTTAGAGTTCCTTAGGGCAGTATCAATTACACTAACTTATCATTTGTCTCTAGTGTTCCATACATAGGACAGTCTCAGTCACACTAACTTATCATTTGTCTCTAGCGTTCCATACATAGGACAGTATCAGTCACACTAACTTATCATTTGTCTCTAGTGTTCCATACACAGGACAGTCTCAGTCACACTAACTTATCATTTGTCTCTAGTATTCCATAGGACAGTATCAATCGTATTATTTTTTGGAATACTTTGAGCTTGTCTATATGAAAATCAGCTATTAATCGGCCTGCCTTGAATCAGATCGGTGCACACATGTCTAGAACTACAATAATTAAATCTTTATAAAAAATTAATGTGATATAACGGAAATATCATTCCAGTTTTAAGTCTGTACTTTAAATTTGTTGAATCCTAATATCTTGCTCTCAATAGAAGAAGGAAAACTAACCAAAATTGAACGTTTAAAAAATCAAACAAAAAATATCTTACATTCCCTCGTGATGAGCAGTGCACAAAATTATTGTATGTATAAAATATTTTCTTTCAACTGATATTTAGATTATTTATGCTCAGTTTCATTGATGACATGTCAAATTCATTGTGTAGCTGGTCAAAATTTTGGTCAGTCATCCCACTAAAAATCTGCCTTATCTTTTGTAATGTATTAACCTTCAGGAGAGTATTAGTGAAATATGGGACAACTTCCACCAATCAAATCAGTCATTAACACATAGTTGTCAGTATAAAAAATTTTTACAAATTCGTGAAGCAAGCAAATAATAATTTTTTTTAAACATTTATTTTTTGTGTGGCTAAAATGTGCAACAAATGTAAATGTTATTTTTAAATCCATTAATTGGAGATAGGAAAATGGGTTTGTATTGGCTAACTCATCCGTATTTTTTCTTTATTTTTATATGAAAGAGTATCGGCAAAAGAATGGAACTCAAACCTATTTTAGCAAATCCATTATTTGTCCAACTTTTAGTGTCGGAATCAAAAATTAAATGACCATAATCTGTCAATCATTTTAATTTTAACATTTATCCTATTTCAAGATTTTAGTTCAGCTCTTTGTGAAGAGTTGCCCATTTTAATATCAATTTTCTAAAAACTACTCTTAAATATTTTTACATCCTAAATTGATTTCTTCATATGTAACAGTTTTTTCTGTTGCATGAATTTTAGGGGAAACTATTTTATCTTTTATTTTTAATTGATCCTTCAGCTGAAGATTGTAAGTGTGAAGATTCCATTGACATTTGTCTTCATTCATCTTAGGTGTCATGAGTAGGTTTCATGTTATTGTGAATGATCAAAGTAACTGCTTCAAAGAAAAACTTGGTTAGTTATTCAATGGAGCTTGTGGCTTTAGAACATTAATGAGTTGAGCTTGTGGCTTTAGAACATTAATGAGTTGAGCTTGTGGCTTTAGAACATTAATGAGTTGAGCTTGTGGCTTTAGAACATTAATGAGTTGAGCTTGTGGCTTTAGAACATTAATGAGTTGAGCTTGTGGCTTTAGAACATTAATGAGTTGAGCTTGTGGCTTTAGAACATTAATGAGTTGAGCTTGTGGCTTTAGAACATTAATGAGTTGAGCTTGTGGCTTTAGAACATTAATGAGTTGAGCTTGTGGGTTTACCAGGTTAGTTAATGAGTTTAGTGTTTGTTAGTATAGTAATCGAGTAGTCAAGTCATTTCAATACATTGAGCTTGTGGGTTTCAGACCAGCCTAGTTAATTATGAGTTGAGCTTGTGGGTGTTAGAACAGTCTAGTTAATTAATGAGTTGAGCTTGTGAGTTTAATTATGGCTTTAGTTTGTTAATGAGCTGAAGCTTGTGGGTTAACTTTAGGATATACAGGGTTTCTTCATTAATGAGTTGAGCTTGTAAGGTTACTTCGTTATCAAGTTGAGCTTGTAAGGTTATTACTTCATTAACGAGTTGAGCTTGTAAGATTACTTCATTAATGAGTTGAGCTTGTAAGGATACTTCATAAATGAGTTGAGCTTGTAAGATTACTTCATTAATGAGTTGAGCTTGTAAGGATACTTCATAAATGAGTTGAGCTTGTAAGGTTACTTCATTAATGAGTTGAGCTTGTAAGGATACTTCATAAATGAGTTGAACGCGTGGGTTTGATTGTTAGAATTTCCCAAAGACACTTGTGTTAATGACTCCACTGGCAGCTTGTTGCAAATAACCATTCTGGTCGACATGTTTTAATGATCATTCATATATCGTCAACTATATGTATTATCTTTTTTAATCATCATGTCATATCTTTTTTAGTCATTATTAATACATTTTTATACTAAAGTGTGATTCATTCCAACCACATAAGTACTTTTCATTCTTTTCATGCATGCTATGAATTACTTTATGATTATGATGTTGTCTGCTGTCCTCTTGTTTTGGTAGCTGTTTCTTTAGAGTTGTCTCCCTGTCTTGGTGTCATTGAAATAATCTTAACATGATTTTAAATCATAAAAAAACTGGTGACACATGACCTCCTTGTGTTGTTGACTTATTTAACCTATCAGTTTTGTTG